TGTGCGACTCACACATGTCCTCACGACGCTAATAGACAGAACCAGTAGTTATACCAGTCGGATCCCATCCTTGGATGTAACCTTGCCCACTCTACCATGTCCTCCTATGTCTTCCAACTTCACCCTTCAAGATCTTTTTCATATTCCTCCCATTATGGAAGAAATTGGTTACCTTGAAAAGTAAGAATAACTGTTATTATTATTACCTTTATTGTCAGAGTACCACATGTGTACAATGAGATTGGCAAACAGTCAAGTTTAGATGTATCTATTTTAAGAAGCACATTGTTCAAAATGTTCTGAGTGAACCCAGTACCATTTTCTGTGGTGTCACCTACCATTGTGAGTGGAAATGGTCCCCTCTGGACAAGGAATGCATTTGTAGCAGCAAACTGGCTCTCCTTCCTGAGCCCGCTTGAAGAATTCAGGATGACAGTTTTCCACACATTTGGACTGAGGCAGAAACTAGTAATACCAAACAAAATACCCACCATGCATGAAAAATGCATACAGATATGAACATTATCCAAGTAGTCTCTGGGCTTTACTTAGGCAAATATAAAACCTCTAACTAGTTTCAAACAGCTCTAAGAAAAGCAATTACTGGCAGTTTCTCCATTTTATCCCTCCTTTTGCTTATTCTGATTGCAAAAAAGGAATTGTCTATTTAATAAAGTCTGGAGTTATGGAATTTAAAAAAAGATTTAAGTGCTGACAACCAATGGGTTCCTTCTCACGGCCATATTGCCATGCATTTCTGCATTCTTCATTTATCTATTATTTTAAAGTACGATGACCTATTCATATTTTATTTTAGAATAATATTTAATCTGAAGGATTTAATTATTTATTCTATCAGTTTTGCTAAAATAAAATAAAACTCTGAAGAAAGAAACATCTAAGAGATTCAATGATTTATTTATTTTTTTGCTACATAACAAATTTAAAGCCTTTGGAACTAGCCCCAAATAGTTTCCCAGTTAAGATAAAAAAGAAGAAATTAGGGATATCAACTTTAAAGGACATGTTCTTTGTTTTTTTCATATATTTATTTGTTGAATTCATTATGACAGATGCTGGTGATATAATAATAAAAAACGTATTCCCTAGTTTGTACAATTGTACTGAGATCAGATGCCAAAGGTCAAATCAAAGTATCACTTCCTTTCAAATTGTCCTTCGTTATTTCAGCTATCAGAAAGGGGTTGTTCTTTGCATCAAAGTTATGTTGGACATTTTTCTGGGTCAGGGCATCATTTCACATCACACCAGTAATTCTGATTTCCATGTGAACGTCATCTGATTCAGTTCAAACCTGAACTCGGGCTCTGATCAGAAAAATTGCCTTCTAAATTGCCATTTGAGGACAAATGAATTTGAGGCCATCAGCACCACGAACCGCAGCATTTGATGGCTTCTCTCCAATTTTATGGTGGCACAAGCTTGCAGAGGAGAACCAAAAGGGCCATGAGCTGTGTTCTAAAGCAGGGGTCGCCAACCTTTTGGACCTCAGGAACCAACAAACTCATAATTTTAAATCCCGCGGACCACTAATATGAATCCAGCATGTCGCTTGCTGAAGTGCCTAGACTCCCACTGACAGGATGGGGTCCTTCAGGCACTTAGCTTGGCTGCCTGTTTCTGCAGAAAACAAAACACCAGGATCTGTCTCCTCTCTCTCTCTTTCTCTCTCTCATCTCTCTCTCTCTTTCCTTCCCCCTCTCTTTCTCCCTTTCTCCTTCTTTCTCTCTCTCTCTATTTCTCCCTTTCCCTCCCTCTCCACTTTCAATTCTCAGTCTCTCTTTCTCTTTCTCCCTTTCTCCCGCTTTCGCTCTCTCCCATCCCCTCCTCTTTCTCCCTTTCTCTTTCTCTCTCTTTCTCTTTCCCTCCCTCCCAGAGGTGGTATTCAGCAGGTTCTGACCAGTTCTGGAGATCCTGTAGTGGAAATTTTGAATAGTTCGGGGAACCGGCAAATACCACCTCTGACTGGAGATTTTGTATTATCCTTCCCCTGCCACACCCACCAAACCACACCCACAGAACCGGTAGTAAAAAAATTGAATCCCACGACTGATCCCTCCCCGCTTTCAATTCTCAGTGAAGGTCATCAAGCATGGGGATTAGACTTAGCTCACTTGATCTGAATAGAATAAAATAACAGAGTTGGAAGGGACCTTGGAGGTCTTCTAGTCCAACCCACTGCCTAGACAAATGGTTATCCAACATCTTTTTAAAAACTTCCAGTGTTGAAGCATTCACAACTTCTGGAGGCAACTGTCAGGAAATTTGTCCTTAGTTCTAGGTTGCTTCTCTCCTTGATGAGTTTCCACCTGTTGCTTCTTGCTCTGGCCTCAGGTGCTTTGGAGAATAACTTGACTCCCTCTTCTTTTTGGCAGCCCGAGATACTGGAACACTGCTATCCTGTCACCCCTAGTCCTTTTCATTAAACTAGATATACCCAATTCCTGCCACTATTCTTCATATGTTTTAGCCTCCAGTCCTCTAATAATCTTTGTTGCTCTTCTCTTCACTCTTTCTAGAATCTCAACATATTTTTTTACACTGTGACGACCAAAACTGGATGCAGTATTTCAAGTGTGGCCTTACCAAGGCTTTATAAAATGGTATTAACACTTCACGTGATTTTGATTCTATTCCTTTGTGTCCTAAGCCTTTGGAAAATAGAGAAAAGACACCAATAGTTCTCCCAGCTTGTTCATCAGTTTTAGCTGTGACAGAACACCTTGATCAATAAGAAATCTCTGTCTTTCCAAGCTCCCTATTTGTTCTTCAATGGGATTCTCCTCAGGGAAAATCATGGAGCTCATGATATTCAAATCTGCTGCTACGTCTCTGTTTTCATCCAAATACAGTTTCAGATGGGAAAGATTGCAAAATTCATTCTTCTCTAGAAAGGGCTGGAACTAGAAATGGAAACGGGTCTTTTTTTATCCAAATGTGCTTCATTAATTGAACAATTGGGAAAGTCTGTAGGTTGCAGGAAGCATCATTCCAAGGTACTTGCAGGCTGGAGGGGTGCAACCAGGGGTGGGATTCTACCAGTTCCCACCTATTTGCTAGAACCGGTTGTTAACATTCTAAGCAGTTCGGGAAACCAGTTGTTAGAATAAATTACTGGCCTAATCCTGTAAGGAAGGCAGGAAGGAAACATTCTGCTGTTGCTTACAGAAACTGCTTCTCTATTGACCCTTATTACATTCTTGGCAGGACTAGACTTCCTGTCTCAGGAACCTCTCTGTTTTTTCCCCCCTCCTTTGGTGGTACTTTGCTTGTGTGGAGTGACCATTCAAAGTTACAATGGCACTGAAAAAAGTGACTTATGACCATTTTTCACACTTACAACTGTTGCAGCATCCCCACAGTCATGAGAGGCCAGGTGAGGAGATGCATGCCTTGATGTGAGTGATATTGAGTTGGTCACGCCCAGCCAATAACATGACCACCAAGCCATGTCCACCCAGTCACATGATCACCAAGTCACGCCCACCACCTAAGCCACGGCCACAGAACTAGTTGTTAAAATTTTTGAATCCCACCCCTGGGTAAAACTTGTGCAGTGTAAGCTGAAAAACAGGATTCATAGATTGTGAGACGGCTGGATGTCTCTTAGTATGTGATGTGATGGAAGAAAGTTAAATTTTATGATCACAAATGTGTGTGGTTGGAAAACAGAATGCCTGCCATGGTTACGTGTTCATTGTGCTCCAGAAGTTCCCATCTTTACTCATCTCCTTGGATCTGGATAAATGTGCAGCTTTTAATGCCTGGGCCACACTCCAGAACATGCAATAAATGATGTGGTTGTCTATAAACAGGGTCCTTTCGATCTCCTCCTTGTGGAGAGTCTCCAGGTCTTTTTCTCTGGACATTTTGACCAGCCTTTCTGCAACAAGCCCTGCTTAAAATGTAAACAAGGACAAGCTTCCAATCATTGTCATGGAGACAAACATATAATGTGGTTGGAGCTTGGCTCCCATCATTAACATATTGCCTGTTTTTATACAGATGCTCAAACACACTCTATCACAGTGGTGGCTAACCTTTTTGGGTTCCTGTGCCAAAAATTGTGTGTGTGCTGGTGGTTGTGTGCTCAGGTGCCAGCACCCAGAAGGCAATGTGCGCCCCCCCGCCCCCTGTGCATGCATGTGCAATCCCCCCATCCCCCCCTTATCTGCACTGTGCCTCACAGCTGATTTTTGGCTGATTTGAGGCCTTTTTTGGTCTCCCAAAGGCCTGAAATAAGCCTCTGCAGGACGAATAGGCCCATTTCGTCACTTCCGGAATTAACAGAAGGTGATGAAACAGGCCTATTTGGCCTGCAGAGGCTTTTTTCAAGCCTCTGGGAGGCCGAAAAAGGCCTCAAACCAGGCCTCACAGCTGATTTTTGGCTGGTTTGAATCCTTTTTCAGGCTTCCAGAGATTTGAAAAAAGCCTCTTCATGTTGAATAGGCCTATTTCATCACTTCTGGTATTAACAGGAAGTGATGAAACGGGCCTATTCATCCTGCAGAGTCTTTCTTCAAGCCTCTGGAAGGCCGAAAAAGGCCTCAAACCAGCCAAAAATCAGCTGTGAGGCACACGCATGCGCAGCGAGGTAAGTGCCTGTGGCTCGCGTGCTGGCACCAATGGCTCAGCGTGCCACCTATGGCACATGTGCCATAGGTTCACCATCACGGCTCTATCACATGCAGATAGACAGTTAACTGCTGTCAATGGGAATAATTACTCAAATTAATTCTTAAAATGAATTCTTAAAATATGATAGAGTCTCCAAATTTCTCTAAGTGGTTTTCTTGGAGTTCTCTTTAGAAAGATTTATTGAGAAGAAAGGGAAGGGAGTTACAAGAATTCCAGTCATGGAGCCATTTCTTACTGAGAAACATATACATCTAATTTTCTTTGACTATTGCATACAGTCTAGGTGGACATAATATCTTCTTTCAGATACAATTCTTCCAATATCATAATGGTGTTCTGCCTCATGTTTTTACATCTATTCTGGCAGTAAGTTTTTCCTTTGTATTCAGGTCCGGCCTTACAATAATAATGTAGCACTTGGGGATGAAGATGCAACCCAGCAGCCCAGCACTGGAGGCCAAGATGGAGAAGACCTGCACAGCCACCATATATTTCCCTTTGGTGCTCAGGTAGGTGGGCACAAAACTCACCCAGACACTGCAGAAGACCAGCATGCTGAAGGTGATTAGCTTGGCTTCATTGAAGGCCCCAGGGAGTTTCCTGGCCAGGAAAGCCACTGTGAAGCAGATGGCAGCCAGGAAGCCCATGTAGCTGAGAGTGATGTAGAACATGACAACATAGCCTTCGTTGCATTGCAGATTGATTATTCCAGGCTGGGAGTAAAGGTCAGAGTCAGGGAATGGGGGAGAAACTCCCAGCCAAATGGAGCAGATGATAATTTGGATAACAGAACAAGAAAGGACGATGGAGTTGGCCAAGCTCTTCCCCAACCATCTCTTCACTCGGTTTCCTGGTTTTGTGGCTAGGAAAGCCAGCACCACTGTGATTGTTTTGGCCAAGAGAGAAGAAATGGCAACTGAGAAGACAATGCTGAAAACCATTTGTCGTAGAAGGCAGGTGACTTTCCTTGGCTGACCAATGAAGAGAAAAGAAGACAAGAAGCAAAGCTGGAGGGAGACCAGGAGGATGTAAGAGAGATCCTGGTTGTTAGCTTTGACAATGGGAGTTTCTCTGTATTTAAGGAATACTATTAAAACAAAGTCCGTGATTAGGAACAAGAGTAAGGCAAAAGAGACCAGGATGATGCCCAGATGTTCTTCATAAGACAAGAAGGACAGAACTTTGGGGATACATTGGACTCGGTCCACATTTGGATGTTTATTGTCTGGACATTTGGTACATTTTTCCATATCTGAAGTAAAAAAAAAAAATCTTTAATATTGTATTCTTTCATCCAGTGGTGGGATTTAGCATTTTTTACTACTGGTTCTGTGGACATGGCTTGGTGGGTGTGGTGTCGCTTGGTGGGCGTGGCTTGGTGGGCATGGCAGGGGAAAGATATTGCAAAATCCCCATTCTCTCCCCACCCCACTAACCTGATTTCCAACTGTGTTCTCCTATGCAGGGCAACCAAAGAAAACCCAGCCAATCAGCTGGGACTCAGGAGGCAGAGAATAGATGGGGGCGGGGCCAGTCAGAGGTGGTATTTGCCGGTTCTCCAAACTACTCAAAATTTCCACTACCGGTGCTCCAGAACTGGTCAGAACCAGGGGTGGGATTCAAATTTTTTTAACAACCAGTTCTGTGGGCGTGGCTTAGTTGCGGTGGTGGTATTCAGCAGGTTCTGACCAGTTCTGGAGAACTGGTAGCGGAAATTTTGAGTAGTTCAGAGAACCAGCAAATACCACCTCTGACCAGAAATTTTACAGCATCCTTCCCCTGCCACACCCATCATGCCATGCCCACAGAACCAGTAATAAAAAAAATTGAATCCCACCCCTGCTTAGTTGGTGGGTGTGGCTTGGTGGACATGTGGCTGGGTGGACATGGCTTGGTGGTCATGTTATTGGCTGGGTGTGGGCAACTCAATATCACTCACATCGAGGCACGCATCTCCTCACCTGGCCTCTCATGACTGTGGGAATGCTGCAACAGTTGTAAGTGTGAAAAATGGTCATAAGTCACTTTTTTCAGTGCCATTGTAACTTTGAATGGTCACTCCACACGAACAAAGTACCAGCAAAGGAGGGGACACAAAAACTCCAGAGAAGTTCTTGAGACAGGAAGTCTAGTCCTGCCAAGAATGTAATAAGGATTAACGGAGAGACAGTTTCTGTAAGCAACACCATAATGTTTCCTTCCTGCCTTCCTTACAGGATTTGGCCAGTAATTTCTTCTAACAACCGGTTCTCCAAACTGCTTAGAATGTTAGCAAACTGCTTAGAATGTTAGCACCTAGTCTAGCAAATAGGTGCGAACTGGTAGAATCCCACCCCTGGTCAGAACCTGCTGAATACACACCTCTGCTTTTGTCTCAAGAAATATCTTCTTGGGACAACAACTAATGCCAGGGGAACTTTTAAGATGCATTTCATAAAATATCCACAGAAAGAAGGTAAGAAGAATAACATTTTCTAAAAAAATAGTTGTATTTCTAATAATCTGTGACATTGTGGAAGTCCTAAAATGGTCATGATTTCCTGAATAATAACCAAAATATTCATAAGAATCTACAAAAGTAGAAGTAAATTATGAAGCAGGAAAACTTTCTAAGTCCCATCAGATGCCACTTCTTAATATACTGGACTCACAGGAGACCTATGTTGTGAAATCCAGTTGGCTGGCAGAGAAAATAAGACCTGCAAATAATCTGGAATGGGTACTGGGATCAGTCATAGTATGGGTAGAATGAGGTGCACCCATAATTATCCACACCACCTCTTTGTGGACCAGTGACTTCTTCCCAGTAATTCTCATGTTGAATGCATCACGTTAAATCTGGAGTATATCTAGGACAATTCCTCAAGTTTAAAAAAACCTAGAGGGGTAGACGTGGAAGAACCCACCCAAACTAAAAAGCAGGATATTTTCTCTGGCAGTAGTAAATCTTGCAGTCTATAGAGATTCTCAGTCATCCAGGTCATAGTTGTCCCAAAGATGTCATGCCCCTGTTGGAGTCTGACTCTGAGGGAGAGGAGGAACAGCTGACAGGGAGTGGAAGTGTGGCTCCAGAGGTTGTGGAGGAGGCTGGAGAAGGGCACAGGCAGACTGGACAGTCAGAGGAAGACCCAGGCCGATCCCCTCTCCATCCTAGGGCATGCAGGGAGGAGAGGATAAGGGAGAAATATGAATGGCATGGTCTGTGGGGGAGGAAAGGGCCTTGATTCTCTTCATGGGCTACAGCTGTGAGGACTGTTTAAAAGGACAGACTGCGCATGAGCCAGTGCTGGAAACAAAGCGTGAAAATATTTCTAGTCTGTCTGTTCTTATCTGAGTTTGGCGTCCTTCCCAGTGTGTACTCCGATATCTGTGGGTGTCTTCAAGCCCTTCAAGACCCCTGGTTCCCTTAATTGCTTCAGTGTGATTTGTGTTGTTTTTTCTATTTATAATTTAGAGGTATTTTTAGTTTAAATGGCATTTCCTCCTTTTTGCTACTGTTTGTGGGGGAGGTTTTTTTGTCTCCAGTAAAGGATATTTGGAGCTTTGAAGCCAAGTTGAAGGAATTCACCTGTTTTTATTACTTTGTTGATTTTGTATCCCACCCTGGGTCATCACAAAAGGTGCTTTTTCAAGAGGCAACTGGACTTTCTGTTTTTTCTTTGAAGACATTTCATTTCAAACGTCTTCAATGAAAAACCAGAAAGTCCAGGTGCCTCTTGAAAAAACACCTTTAGTAAAGCTTGCCTAATCTGCCACACCTTTCAATACAGGCTCTCCCTCATTATCTTTAGACAAGGTATTGTATAGTTTGAAAATAAACAAGCAAACAGCTAAGATTCTGTCTTTTAACATGCACATTCATGAAAATGCTCTGGATGAATCCACGTTGACCCAGCCTGCCCTTTTTCTTAGTGTCACCCACCTTCCTGAGTGGAGATGGTCCCTTCTGGACAAGGAATGCAGTCGTAGCAGCAAACTGGCTTTCCTTGTTGAGCCCTCTTGACAAATCCAGGATGACAACTTTCCGCACATTTAGACTGAGGCAGAGACTAGGCAGAAAAAGAAAGAAGGCCATGAAAATGTGCTAGGACTCACCATACATTAGGAAAATGTTTGTTTGTTTATTTGTATCAGAAGCATCACAATTAAAATAACACCTACTATGTGACATAAAATTTTAAGTACAAGATAAAAAATTTGTGCAAGATAAACAGATCTTGCCCAGAAACTAGCAACATTAATGGCATTCTGTTGCAATGCCATGAGATTCTCAAATGTGTGCACTGCTTAGGACACAAAGGACAAGTATATACACTGTACTGTTGTCTGCATGTCACCACAATTACAAATGGCAGAAGTCACAGGATAGCCCCATTTGTTTGGAGTATCTCTGGATCTAGTTATACCTATGCATAATCTATTCAATGACTTCCATACTTCCCAGATTTTGACAGCACACCCATGTGCCAGATCCTCCATTGTTTCCATTCAGTGTTGATTTTTTGTAGCTTTCCATAGGTCCTCTCTGCTTTTAAATTCTTTGAAGACTTCTGTCAACCTAAGGAAGCGTTTCCTAAATTTAATCTCTGATGGTTAAGTGTAGGCCATAGAGAGCATATCGTCTAGCTACGGATTATTTAAGCCTCTCTCCGTATGCTAGCACTATCACTATCACTATGACTTATATTCCACTTCATAGAGCTTTACAGCCTTCTCTAAGCAGTTTACAGAGTCAGCATATTGCCCCCAACAATCTGGGTCCTAATTTTACCCACTTCAGAAAGATGGAAGGCTGAGTCAACCTTGAGCCTGGTGAGATTCAAACTGCCAAATTGCAGGCAGCCGGCAGTCAGCAGAAATAGCCTGCAGTACTATGTTCTAACCACTGAGACACCAGAGCTGCTTCTTCTCAGAGAACAGCAGGTGGGGCAATGCTGGCTAAAGGCAGATCTCATCTAGAGGCTTAAGGCATCCAATCATAATTCTGCTAGCCTCATTCAGAGCAACATCTACTTTCCCAGCATGTGCCAATTTTTATGCATTCACCTGCTGAGTAGCAAAGAGCCAGAGATGTTGTCTTAAGGACTCTTGGTTTGGCATTCCAGGTAGAGCTCATCAATTTCCCATGGATGTTATTATATCCACAACCTCTAGTTTTGGAACAGTGCTGCTTATGTGTTAGAACCCTATCTAGATGTCTGTGGAGATTCTTGATCATCCAAGTCATGGTTATCCCAAAGGTGCTTTTTCAAGAGACTTTCCAAATCCAGTAGCTTCTTGAAAAAGCACCTTTGGGATGGCGCTATCTAGAGTGATTCCTAAATATTTAGGGCTGTAGCAGTGCTCCAGTAACATTCTGTTCCATATAATATGCAGCTTCCAACAGTCTGCTTATTGCAAGGAGTTTTTGCTGGATTTGGCCTTAACTTATTATCACAATAGTATTAATCCAGCTCTAGCAGGACTTCAGTTAAATGTTGTTCAATTTCGTCAAATGTTTTTCTCTGTACTAACAACTACATGTATGATGATGCTTATTGGCCTCTTTATCTAGTTTTAAAACTGATTTATATTCCTTGTAAACAGCTGGTCATTTGCATTCTTTTAGAGAGTCGTTCAGGCCACTTGGAGGTTTACATATGTCCTCAGAGTCACCTGAGTAGTGCAAATGGGGTGGACCTTTCTTGGAACTGCTGGAAGGAATATGTTGTAGACTGGAGATAGATGATGTCATATCCCTCCTCCGCTGTGATTCAGAGGACACAGATAAACCTCCAATTGGCCTCAATGACTCTAAAGCAAGGAATGCAAATGCAAGGAATATGCAAGGAATATAAATCCTTCCATTCCCCACTATCTAGTCAGAGCTGAAGAAACTTCTTGGATAAGAAGCAAAACATCTTCAGAGAAAGTTCAGTTGCTTCTTGAAAAAGAACCTTTGGATTTATACACTGAAGTAGCCATACAGTTGCTCAGCTTTACAGTTATTACTTCTTTGTTATTTATTTCTGTGGTTGTTGTGGATCAAACCTGGATATCAGGCTTCACAAAGACTGCACTTTCCGTTCTGTCAGTAGGACCTATCTGCTACAAGCCACATGCTCTGTATAATTCTGATAGTTGTCTCTATGGGTCTCCTGGATACCCAGAGATTGCCGTTATATCTTTTGGCACAAGTCCTGCAACAATGAACATGGCAGATGAATATAGGCACAAACACTAGCCAAATAGTCACTGGGCTTCATTTAGCTA